TTAGTGCGTAAATACAGCACTGTAGGTGGACTGTTAAATGGGGGGATTGGGAATGGAGTTATGAATTGAAAACAATATTTTGGATGCATGCGCGCCATTGAGGGCGCGACTGGGCCATGTCTGACAATGTCTCTAACCATTGATGTGGACCGTCTCTGGGTCCCCATTCCAGGAAGACGGAAACGACCAGAGCAGCTGAGTTTGCTGGCATTGGCTTTCATACTTCTCTGCCAAGTCATTGTTTGACCGCCTCTGGCTCTCTTCCACCCTTCACGTGGTTGTGCGAAAAGAGCCCTTCGAGGAAGTCCGTCGACTGACATACGCAGCACGTGGCCAAGCCAGCGCAGCCTATACAGTGTGATCAGTTCATCTATCTAGGATGAGTTATTTCCCCCCGGAATACCATTCGACGAACTTCAGCATTGCTGATCCGGTGTTCCTACCAGATTCGGGCAATGCTCCGAAGACATCAACAGTAGTAAGTTCGCAACCAGATGAATATAGACCCACTGTGGAAGAAACCGTCGGTACCTGAGGCGTTTTGGTTAGCCAGTGTGCACACCGGGTGGATACTAAGGCTTTGGCTATTCGAAATCCATACACATTAGGACACCAGGAGAACCAGAAACTGACGAAAGCGATGACCGCATGGTCTAGAAAGAAGCAAACACGGGATGAAGTAAGGTATATCTTGAAGTGAATTATTCAAGCATAGTCGTGCGTTTTGGTCGTGGTTATCTACAGACCTGTCCAAAACGCACAAATATGGATAGATGAACTGGGTGCCTGAGTGAGTGGACAAATACGGTGATAAGATAAAAGAACAAGGTACGAAAGCAGGAAAAACAACAACGCGACTAGCACACGACCCAGTTATTGAGTTGGGTCCCATAGAAATCTGTCAGATGCTAGAAAAGTGAAGTTGGACGCCCTTGGAAGTACGGTGGGCGGTATGGTGCAGACGTTTTGCTCTAAACATCTAACTGTATCAACAGAAAGTGACAAGAGTAGCTCGAGAATAGCTACAGAGAGGAGACTGATTGAATGTGGAGTGGGATCAGGGGTCTTCAAGGGAGGCTGGATGCGAACACAAAGTCCTTTAGTATGTCACAGTGGCGACAGTCCTCGCATCAAAATATAAGGTCCAGCGCATCTGTTTTGCATGTTTCCATAGGACAATATGGACATTTCACTTTGCTGTTGAAAGAGAGGAGAACATGGAAAATTTATGGAAAAAGACACAGATTGAATATCAAATCGAGTAACGCAAGTTCTGTGAAGCAAGTAAACATAAACAGGTCAGAAATGATGTGGGTTAGGACACGCAGAGTTCACCTGTAGTCGCGCTAGCCTACTGCCATGCGAACATAAGTTTTATGTTGGTCTTTAATTAAAAAAGCAATGCAGTATAATAGCAAAACGAGAGCCACCAAAACCGCAGAGCCCACGCTGCGGGGTCAACGTAGTTGCATATCTGGTTGCATGGTGATATCCTCAGGGGCAGTCAAATGCAGGCTCATGAAGCAAACGGACTAGGTCTCCTGCGAGGCGGTGACATACACTACTAATTCACGCTTTGACTTGGTAACATGCTACGAATAGCCAGTTGGACGAGTAGGGCTGATTCAAATACACTGTGCCTCAAATCCTGCTAAAGTGCTCTCTAGTATTGCTTGCCGACGCATATAAGCGCTCTTCGTGAAAATGAACTGAATGAACAGCAGGGTATAAAGAGCAGTGTCAAAGTGGATCGAGCTCACATGAGATTATTTGTCCACCTAACACGCGCAACGTTTCCGAGGCATCGACGGTTCGGTAAAAGATCTTCTGAATGCAGCGACAACGTTTAGGATCCATCCGGGTACAAATCGAAAAGCAGCGTTGTACACCCACCCTTGATGGCGAAGGCGCCGTCAAGTCAGCGCCACAAATGTCGCAGGTCGACACAGGCTGTCCTGGTCTTCCCAATTCGGCAGGTAATTCTGTCGTTCATGCCACAAATGTCGCAGGTCGACACAGGCTTCCCTGGTCTTCCTAATTCGACAGGTCGTGAGTGCGACAGGATTTATCCAGCTGCACAGAAACTCACTACTAAGTCGATTGGTTTGCCTGCAAGTATGAGGTTTGGGTTCGATCCCGTCCAATCTTGAAGCAGCACATTACATTTTGAGGGAGCGCAGCGCATGCTGAACTGCGCAGCAGAATTCTTCAGGCTATTTGAAATAGTTGGTAGGTCTAAAGAGCAACATGCTAGGCATATTCAGTGTCCATGAGCGGACGCCCCCAGGAGTATTTCTATCCCCGAGGCAGATAAAAAAAGACTCAATCAGCACAGTCATGAAGACGCTAAAGAGAAAGAACGACTGGCGACATTCATCATTCATGTTCGACACATTGGATGGGTTGGACTCGGGAGGGGATTTGCTGAAGACATCCATGAATCCATGGGTGGATGCATGTACAGCATTTATAAGAGCTGAGAGGGTCAAGATGACGTGGTGGTTGGAGCACGAATTTACTGACCGAAGGTCCGTAGTTCGAACCCGACCTCTGCCCCTCGATTTCCCCTGTCTACGCTTGGGCAGCCGGACAGTATCCGAGTCATCATGCTTCCTTCCGGCGGCAGGGCAGTCAGGCACCGAAAGGGTGCTACAGCGGAACGAACAATACGAACTGAGATAGGGGAAAAACGATCTTCGCTGGTAGTCGGAAGGAGTGGCGCAGTCCCAGTACTTGTCTCAAAAAGAGTAAGGCTGATGCAATCTCAGCTAGCGCGAAACAGACTAATTCTCATCAATCTGATTCAACCGATGATGGATCAACCCACGTAAACTAATGCCAGAGAGCAGCTTGAAAGCCATGGTAACTAGACTGAAGGTTGTTCATAGGAGTCCCAGCTGAGGCGCTGCTTGTCTTCACTCCGGACAGTTGTGGGTTGAAGTCGTAAGGTTAGGCATGGTGTACTCTTTGAAAAAAAGCACAATGGAACCATCTGAACCAGAGTCTTCGTTGCGCTGAAGCAATGAAATTCCATGCCCGACTGCCGCTATCGATGGCGAACTGATGTTGACGTTTCACACGGGTCTATTTGGTTCTTCCAGAGGTTGAGGTGATGGAGCCAAACTGAAACGTTCCTCGAAGTGTCCGGTTCACCATTCAAGACAACGATTCTGTGAATAAAATGAGGTCACATCGTTTACGGAGCTATTTTCACCGATGCTCTCCCTCCGAGGACCAGTTAATCGGATTACCTGGTACGACTGTTTTCTACATTCAACATTCTAGAGCATTTCGGATCCCCCAACGCTGTCTGTCTATCTTGGGTTCTCCAACCTTCGGCGTTTTAGGGATCTCCGAAGGCAATTATTGTCGTTTCTTGCTGGTGTAGTTTTCCCGGCTTCGATGAGGGCTGTTAATCGTGACGAGATCTAGTGCGGTGCGCTGGCGACCTCGAGCAGATCGTTTCAGAGGCAGTTGTCATCCAACTCACCACTGTTAAGAGAACGTCCGTCGAATTCTGTAACCCTTCGGTCAATCCAATTCGATATTGTTGAGGTAAGCAGATAATATGCAGTTGACGAACTGAATGGTTTTGCATCAACCGGTGTGTTCCTGATGAAAAGCATGTTGATAGACGTACTCGCTGTGATCAGAGTTAAGCAGCGTACTCTAGAACGTGCACCGAAGCTCTCCACCAGGAACTGAGTGGCAAATGGTCTAAAGGAATCCACACTTGATTTGCAGTACGCTGACTCTATTCCACATGATGTGAGAGTTTGTGTTGAAAATTCGTGCAGGCCAGTAATTAGTGAAGAAGTCGCTCCCCATTATCTGTGCGGTGAGCGTCAATCCCGAATCGGGCCTCAAGATGCATTCCATCAGAACGTAGTCGGTCAGCTTGAGCATTCATATTGCCTGCGAAAATCACGATGTCTATACTACTTACTGACCGCAGCAACCGTGACAAATCGCGACAGGATCTGTCTTTCTCAGCCTCGGGTGGTAGCCTATGCTGATATAACAAGCAAACACCGGTTACCGCGCCGAAACGTGTAGATCCTAACTGAACCAGTCAAGCGAACAGCGCAATCCAATCAAGTGAAGCGCACTCAGCCCTTGATCTAAGTACAACTCTCACGAGTCATTATATCAGGATCAACAAACACCTAAAGAGTAGAGTGCGAAAGATCCGCGCTTGCAGAGAGTGGTTTGAGGTGTATGACCGAACAGGGGTCTCGTACGCGTGCTTCCGAGAAATAAAATATATCGGCCAAAGGAGGGGACAAGGTTTCAGCAAGAGCTACATGTTGCTCAATTTGACAGTGTAGACGTTGTAAACGTGGTACAAATCTCTTGAACCTAATGAGGATTTACAGTAGGTTACTGGAGAAAAGTATAGAAAAGGGACAAAGGTCACGTGATAGACAGTCGAATGAATCGGAAATGCCTCGGTGAGAGACATGTTGAAAGAAGTCAGTGAAAGGAGGGTTGTAAGGGGGGATGAAGGGGGTTTTGTTGAGTTACCACACCTTGAGCGTTTGACTCAAAAGCCTGACCCTAGTCTATGACTGCAGGGTCTGACTGATTTCTAATACGATTTCTCGTGACACGGGGACTCGCCGTTCCTCGTCGGGTTGCTTACCGTTAGCCCTCCAGGTATGACTGAACCTTTAGGAGATGACTTCCAGCCGGTATAGCCTCCAAGATCTGAGTAGCACTGAGTTCCGACCACTAAAACAAGGGAACGGTCACTTGAAACCTAGGATCCCTACTATATATCACACTAATTCAAGTGGACAAGATGTTAACATTTCGTAGACAGAACACACTACTCTTAAGACTGGAGGAAACACATTAACAACCCAGTATCAGTCTCGCCCTTTTTGAGGCCCATCACGTAGGCGTAGCGTTAGGCGGAATTCCACACGGATCCCGCCTTACCGCTCGCAGTCAGGTGCTGCTACGGCCGAGAAGTCCATCCCACGCGTGATTGGCCAAGAATTCGGGACGCTTGCCGGTCCGGCATGAAGCCGGTCGGAAGTCTGAACCCAATAGCCAATTATGACCCAGCACTGGCCGTTTCCAGAAAGTTATTGCTGCCTACGCTATATATATGAAGCGCTTCACAGGTGTTCCTGACTTCCCTTTGGGGGTTAATATACCTTGTGCACCTTTGGTGGTAGTTTTGACGTGAACGCTAACTTGGGAGGCTCAGACCGAGAACTAAGCTTAGAAAATTACCGTTACTATACGTGGTTCCCAAGTTTCTCGCAAACTTACGTTCTACATGAACATCATATTGTGTGCAAATGACGCAAGTGAAGTCTCTCGTTGACACTGACGAGCGTAGTTCGCCAGTCGCAGATGCAAAACACTTATAAGACAGATGTACACGACAGCAGTGTAAATCAAATGTCTCATAACCGACATGAGTAGCCCATGGAAAGGATAGAAGGGGAATCCCCTAAACCCTCAGCGAAACATCAACTCGAACGCCCGGAAGGTTCCTCCCATAGTGAAGAGACTAAATTGGCTTAAACGCACCAGCTAACTGGGTGGAAACTATAGACCCAGGAAAAAACACCAGCTGAGTATGGGGATGGAGCGAAACAAGACGACACCAGGGTCAATAGAGAAACTAAACGATGTTATTGACAGGTGCACAGATGTGATTGGTTTCCCACATAACACCTGCGCCACAGTCAAATTATTTGAGGAACTCGATCATTGGGATATGAACGTAACCTGATCGACTGTGCCCAAACACCGAGCCTGATATAATGTAAAACAAGGGAGATGATGCTTAGTGGTAACGGGTGATGGTGGCAGTTTTTACGAATAGGAAATATGAGATCAGAAGAAAATTCGAGGGTTAATAAACTGGAATCAATCCAACGACGCACCACCTCTAGAATAGTGCATCGCTCGGGTAAGTTTGAACCGTGATCAGTCAGATTAGTGATGGAAATGTCGAGCAGAGTTCCATCTGAAACTGAATGGATGTTTCTTCGACAAATGAACGAACCAACTGGTTAACGTGCGAACCTCTACCGTAGGACACAATACTAGAGTTCTGAAAGAAATCGACAGGAAACAATATGCTTGCTACGGTACTCGCATACGAGGAAAGTGTTCGAACTAACTGCACTCGTATTTTGCAACATCCGCATCACGTTGAGGGAATGGAAGGATTTTTTTTGAACCTATGTGGTTCCAACCCGACCTCTGCATCTCGACTTTTTCTATCTAGGCTTGGGTAAGCCAGCAGTATCCCTATCCCCGTACTTCCTTCGGGTGGCATGGCAGCTAGGCACCGAAAGAGTGTTACAGCTGAATGACTACTATGTTTATTACTTGGTTACGCTGGCGTGCCCTTTCACTAACACTATGTGTACTCGANCTCGAAATTCTCACTTGAAAACCTACCGAATCCCCTCTCACTTTCCAAAAAATTGGCACGAGTCTGCCTTAGATATTGGTAAGATAACAAGACTCGGTCACACATGGAGGCCACACATGGGGGCTCACTAATGAAACGGACAGATGGTAACCATTACTGCATTGCGCAGATGTGTTGTGGATCACTAGCGAAGTTCAAAAGCATAATCGTTCTGCCCAGCTCATTCGGTCGGCGATTCGCGTCCCCAGATGTGCGTCTTCGATTATGCCACGTGTACGTGAACTCATCATTTCAAACTGACGGATAAGTGAAGCCACCTATTGGGGAGTCTTACATACTTTACTCAGCTGCTTTACAGAGCATTTCGTCCGTTCAGCTGTGACACACTTCCGATGCGTACCTGCAATGCCATCCCAGGAAGCACCAGGGCCTAGATAGTGCCATGTGAAGCCACCTATTGGGGAGTCTTACATATTTCACTCAGCTGCTTTACAGAGCATTTCGTTCGTTCAGCTTTGACACACTTCCGATGCGCACCTACCATGCCATCCCAGGAAGCACCAGGGCTTAGATAGTGCCAGATTACCCAAACATAGACAAGAGGTGCGGAGGTAAGGTTCAAACCACAGACCTTCCCGTCGCCTTAACCACTGGGCCATCCCGAACAGAATAAAACGTGGTCTTCGCATCACGCAAAAAGGTTTTTGTTGGCAGCAATAATGTCGAATAGACACCTGTCCAAAAGTTAACGCTAGACCCCGATCGAATTGGACGGAGTATCACAAGGTTGAACCATTCAGCATGCACAAAATAATGCTGGAAATCAACCTGCCAAAGCGTTGATGGCAGGATAGTCTTTCGATGACGTTCATGCAACTTTTTGAGGATCATCTAATTCCACCAATATCCGGTTTCATACGGTTTTTCACATGTTTTAGGTTGAATAACGGTACGTTACTTTCGGTTTTGAAAACTGAAGTGTATGGGTCTTGTTTCCTCTGATGAAAGAAATTCGAGGCCGTATTTCTATCCGTGATGGGAAGTGGTATTCATAGTTAACCCACGTTCACATGGTGCTTCCAAAATTTGTGTTAAGAGACAAACTGAACTGGTTTCCAGAATGGTTAGGCCATCGTCCGACGTGGCCGCGAGTAAATCGCCACTGAATCGTTTTCCCGGATCGTTTCGCTGACGAGGGGGGAGCTTATCATATGACCCATCACTGAGTTTGCCCCATGTTTCTGAACCTGTCCATCCTATAAGCAGTAATTTGATTCACTACAAAGTGCGTTTCTTACTCAAGAAAGTTGCACCTACGCCATCCACACGTTTACGTGGAGGATAGACATCCCAAAGGATGTCCAAAAAGGGTGCCTACTACGGAAGGATACATTTCTTGGGACAACCGATTTCTGTCGCTGGAACTCTGGTGAGATATCGCAGGATATCGATCCGGAAATCTTTGCTATCACCCTATTAGGCCTTAGAGAAAGACACCAATATACGAGTGGTTACCTATCATACACATATGAAGAACACTCAAGTAGGAAGCGGAAAAGGAAGAATATCTGGTCTTGGGAAAACGAGTAAGGTGCGAAAAACTCCGAACAGCAACGCAGGGAAGATGCCATTCGAGGATGTAGCCCTTAGTGTATCCAGTGGAAAAAGTAGCGCACAACGACAGACAACTTTGAGCTAGATAGACCGGTTGTGAACTGCCAGAATGTTCGCCAGTGGGACCGGTTCGGTTCCAGCGGCTTACATGGACCAAACGAATCCGGTCAGAAAAGTTCGACTGCATTCAGTTCGACAGCGGTGTTGGGCTGGAAATGAAAGTACATTACCATTTTTCACGGAACACGTCGCCATACATGTTCCAACCCCCAACCTGGAGGGCCAGGAGACTGTGTTCGTCAGACCTCTACCCATGGATCAACCTGCTATGACAGACTCTGAGGGTGTCGCGCGGACACCCCCAGTATAGCTGAATGGGTCTCCGGGGTACACAAATCGCCACACTACGGTAAGGTCCAGTCTCTTCGTGACGGACAACCATGATGATCATGGGAAACAGTCCGTTGCCCATAGCCCAACCGTCTTCGCTTGATAGGTTTTATTTCCTGATGGGACGATTGTGACCAATTACTAAGCTCGCATTTGCATAATATCTGATTCAAAGACAAGCTGGAACCGGCCAGCACATGTTATGTTGCAGAAACAACCAGTGACCAAATACTGAGATACGTTTAGGGTGGGGATCAAGTCTTGAAGCAGAACCGTTTCCGCAGTTGCATTGTGCACACGGCCTTTTTGCTTCAGCGGAATCGGTTTTCAACACCCAGAATGACGCAAGCTGGGATACTCTCAGCAGTGAGAGGACTCGATCCTAACGGGATCAATAAATCCCCAATAAAAAACACTGACCTCCGATCACCGCTTGGTAGTGATTCGAATGCGTCCCTGGAAATGGCGTGGCCACAGGACAGCCGAACAGGGCCATTCGATGCAGTGGTGATTTCTTTGATAACAGGACAGTGGAAAATATTGTGCTGATGGGCCACAGGGTCCAGTTCGACGGCGACCTATGGAAGAATGGAAACAAAATCACGTAAATACTGTGATATCAGGCCGAATTTCGAATACCTTTCACTGTTGTAGAGTGAAGAAGCAATGCATGTATGCACAAATCGATTTGTAAAACATTCGATCCAATTCAGCGAACATCTGGATGGCAACATACAAAGTAAATCAGGTGATGACGGCATACCAACAGGAATGCAGAATCCAGAGGGAACATTCGATAGGATTATCGCTGTTCAACTCGGCTTCTACTCAAAGTGTTTGGTCTGCAAGAACAGCATTCAGCATTGTTTTCTGTATGATAGGAAAATGAGGGCACATCCGATACCAAACTACGGTGAATCAACATTCCCAGTTCCCAACCGACTAATAGTAATAACAATAATAATAATCGTTCAGCTGCAACACCCTTTCAGTGCTTGGCTGCCATGCCACCCGGAGGAAGCACGAGGGCTGGGAAACTGTCAGGTTGCCCAAGCCTAGACAGGGGAAGTCGAGAGGCAGAGGTCGGGTTTGAACAACGGACTTTGCGGTAAGCAAATCTACGTTCTAACCACTGACCCATCACGCCTCCCTACCGACTACTAGCCATATTAATTCGCATACCTCTGTCAACCATCATGCACTGGTCGTGGAAACTTTTCTTCGCTGACCAGAGCAAACCGCGGATCTTATGCAAGCGCTACTGTGATACGCTGGGATAAAACCTGACAAATTACCGATCCACGGGCGCACAACAATTGACCTGAGATTCTGGTTACTGTCAACAGATGAGAACTATACCATCCATAATTCTGTATTCAAAACAAGCTCGTGCAAATTGGAAGTTGTGCTGGTGAGGCCTTCGTCGTCGACAGATCGAACTTCTGACTCCTATTCACAGCCTCACCGAATAGCCAAGTCTCGACCATCAGAAAAGCACGTACCGGCACGTACCAGTTCCGATATTCAAGGTCCCAAAGCATTTACCAGGGATCACTCTGGTTTTCTCTAGTTTGCGTTAGTTTTTGGGGGAAAACGACTAAGCCGAACTATAAATTGGGCTTTCAGGCACAGAACTGAATAAATGCTTCCCAGACGCTAAGTACCAGTGAAGATATTCTAGGTCAAGTACGCCGGTATCAAAAATCTGAGCTTTGTATAGTAGTGAATGCAATTCAACCTTATGTAAGGTGGGTGAAAACGACTTGAATTATACCTGTGAGTTACACAACGACGTTATTCCTTCCTTGCAAGTGTAAGATTACACGACGTTATTTCCTCCTTGCAAGTGTAAGAAGAACGTGAGAAATGTGACGCACTTTGGAGGAACCACTGTGAAGGAATTGAATTACGTCGGGTTTTGGAACCGGTATACGGACTGAACCTTCATCCACAAATATTTTCATGTTGTGAATGTGAGTTGAAAACGGGGAGATACGCCTTACAATTCCGAGGAACGGTGAGTATAGTGAGCATTTGGCGCTCGGGGTGGATTTTAGGTGAGGTTGGTGATCTGAACATTGGAATAGCGCGGAAAGTCTGACATGAAGCGTTCAGCTGTAGCACCCTTCCGGTGCCTAGTTGCCATGCCACCCGAGGGAAGCACGAGGGCTGGGATATTGCCAGGTTGCCCAAGCCTAGACAGGGGAAGTCGAGGGGCGGAGGTCGGATTCGAACCACGGACCTTCCGGTCGGTAAATTCGAGCTCTAACCACTTGGGCCATCTCGCCAAGCCAGTGTACATGGCTGGTCAAACATCTTGAATAAAGTCGGTGATGTATTCTTAATGTTGCAGACGCACAATGTACATCGGTAAACCAATGTCACCACCATTCTTCCTCTCCCTCTCCCGTTCTTGTGTTTTTCACCACGAATCCACAACCAGTGGAGAGAGTGAAATGCCTTTTGATCCAAGACAGACGGAAATCAGCAAGAAATAAACACTGGGCGGAAGAAAAGTATGGATCAAGTGCAGAATAGGCTTATATAATTAATGCCGGTAATCTGATTTCAAAACTTCTATGGTAAGCTTTATGACACCACAAGTAAGTGTGTCTGGGGTACGATTCAACAAAAAAGCCACGTATTTTGTGTATTAAAGCAGCATTAAAGAGGCATATATGCTTGCACACGTGTAAACTCGGCGTGCTGACGTGGTCCACGGATTCTCATGTGAGGAGCGGAAACTTGGCCGGTATAATAGCTCCCCGTAACGTTAAAGAAGCCAGTGTAGATGGCGTGAGAGATGTTGTACACCGTTTTCAGTTCTTAAAATATTACATCATTTATTGCAAGGGATGACAGTTAAAACTGCTGCAATATACCAACGTACACACCTAGGTTGGATGCCAAGTTTCTCATTCCACGTGCTACGACATCCTGAAACACCTTGCTCGGTGAAACGTATTCCTTTTACCGCGCCCATTTCCAATTCTGTTTTCCTTCATCCTTCAGTTGTAACACCTTCTCGGTGCATGGTTGTCATGCCACCCACAAAGGCACGCGAGGGTTGAGATACTCGTTCAGCCGGAGCACCCTTCCGGTGCCTAGCTGCCATGCCACACGAAGGAGGCACGAGGGCTGGGATACTGCCAGGTCGCCCAAGCCCAGACAGGGGAAGTCGAGAGACAGAGGTCAGGTTAGAACCACAGACCTTGCGGTCAGTAAACTCGCGCCCTAACCACTGCCTGGTTATCAAAGCCCAGACAAGAGCAGCTGAGACACCGGTGTTGGGTTCGAATCGGTTACCAAAGCCCAGACAGGAACAGCTGAGACACCGGTGTTGGGTTCGAATCACAGGCCTCCAGGTATGCAAGTTCGTAGTTTCATCACTGAGCTATCATGAACTTCATTCTTGTTGGTTCTGCATCATGTCCCTAAAGTCATTACTGTAGGTCATGAGTTCCATTGATATAAGCGTTCAACACCTGACCACCAAAAGTCTTTCCCTTACAATAATTAGCTGTACGGTTGTACAGATAGTGATGGTCCAACAGTCCTGTCGTGAGAATCAAAACTCGCATATATTTGCTGAAATGGCAGCCTCCACCAGATGGTGGGATGGGACCATGAATAAAACAGTAATACAGTTCACTAAGAGGAAATTGTCCGATTCGTTAGGTTTTCGCTGTAAGCAATTGCTAGGCGGAATCCCACACGGATCCCGCTTTACTGCTCGCAGTCAGGTGCTGCTACGGCCGAGAAGCCCCTCCCACGCAAGACTGGCCGAAAATTCGGGACGCTTGCCGGTCCGGTATCAAGTCGAGATCTGATTGGCCAAAAGTCTGGACCCAACAGACCCATGAACCAGTACTGGCCGAATGCCGGTTGCCAATGGCGCATCCAGAACGCGTCAGAGATTCCAGAAAGTTATTGCCCCCTACGCTATATATATGGAGCGCTGTACAAGTGTTCCTCACTTCGATTTGGGAGTTAATATACCTTGTGCACCTTTGGTGGTTGTGTTGACGTGAACGCTAGCTTGGGAGGCTCAGGTCGAGAACCAAGCTAAGAAAAATACCGTTACTACAACAATGGAGTTTCTACCATAAAAAAACATTCTAATTTCCTTTTATCTAACCACTCAGGGCTGCCTGGGACACAGCAAACTTTTGGGGCTTGTGCTTCTTCCGATAAACCAGCTTCGACTTTCTCCAGGGTTGGTACTTTAGCTGAATGCCAGCAAGTGTCACTTCGCGATTCCATGTGCAACAGGCTGTATACTACTGAACAATTAAGGCAGCGTCAGTGATTGAACCCGCCTTGAGTTGTACGGTTATGAGTAAGCAAAACTGTCCGCCATAATGTGGTAATTTAACTATCATCTATCGTAGGCGACGTCACGTTATTCCTCCACCTATTCAATATAAGCATCACGAGAAACAGCGCTAACCTAATCACGTCTCTGAAGTCTGAAGGCTAATGTATCAGCCAGATGATGATAAATTACAATGTGGCATTTAGGCCCGGATTAACCACAGCCCATGTAGGCTGAACGACGTTGGGGAGGGGGCGAGATGGACCAAGTGGTCAGAGCGCGAATTTACTGACCGGAAGGTCCGTGGTTCGAACCCGACCGCTGACTCTCGACACCCCCTGTCTAGGCTTGGGCAACCTGGCAGTATCTTAGCCCTCGTGCTCCTTTCTGGTGGCATGGCAGCTAGTCACCGAAAGGGTGCTACAGCTGAACGATTTATATTTATGTTTTACAGGCTGAACCATGCAACAAACATAGGCGCACTCTGGCTAGTGTCGAGATGGTTGCTAGTCTGTCAGAAAGGACTATCATGGTACGATGTTAGACAGATTTTGTTATTATGTGGTCCCACATGACTTGCTACAAACCACCGGATGTTCTAATATACGTTAACAGTCTGTAAATCTAATGAAAATAATAATAAACAATAATAACCGTTCGGCTGTAACATCATTTCGGCGCCTACATGTCATGCCATCTCAAGCAAGTATGACAGCTGAGATAAGGCCCATTTCCCAGGCCTAGATAAAAGCAGTCCGGATGCAGAGGTCGGGTTCGAACCACGGACATTCCGGTCAGTAAATTCGTGTTTTTAACCAGTGACCCATCTCGAGCTCGATCCGTTGGAACCGACCATCCGCAACAGCGCTAGTTTGTTAGCGTTAACACATAAGACCACGAGGGGAGACCCCAGACTAACAAACCTCAAATCAAAGGAGAGATACCTACCGGAAGGGTATCTCCATCAATGGTACTGTACTTGGACAGGCACGAGATGGCTCGCTGCAGCGTCTGTTGACGACTGAGCAGTCGGCATCCGGAATTGAACACTGTACATAGTGGATCCATTTCTGATAGGTTCAACTCATGGCAATAACAGGCGCGAAAGAGGTCGGCTGTGTATGCCAGAGCACTGTCCGGTTTTGCATGGGTGTTTCGTTGACCAATGGGGTTGTCGTTTGATGGGATAAGTCGAGCTGAAGGGTCCGACGGCTGCTTGGGAAATTCCTGTTCGGAAAGTGTTCGGGAGAGATTCTGCTGAGAACCGGATGGCGATATTTGCATGGGTTCTGAGCCGGGAGTGCAGTAATCTAAATCCGCATACGGTGTACCCTCTAGATTACGGCCAAGAAAGACTAAGCTGCCCATCAAGTGTTCAAAGTCTATAAAGAAAACAATAGAAGATAAGCAATAAAATTCGCCCGATGAAACGGAGATTAAACAGGGATATAGAATGACGAGTACAGACCGGTCGGCGTGTTGACAAAAGTGGCCCAATGAAATAGAGATGTTCTAGGATGAAAACATAAAAGCAGACCAATGTTGCTAAAAACTATGGATTCGGCGCATTAACGAATCGGGTACAATTATCCATCTCGTATACTTTGGATGCAACTGCCACTAAGCATATGGATAACATGAAGAGTGAATGGTTGTGAAGGTGACCAGCAGTCGATAACTCAAAAGTGACAAAACTAAAAAATCGTTTAACTGTAACACCTTTTCGGTGCCTGGCTGCCATGCCACCCGAAGGAGGCACGAGGGCTGAGATACTGCCAGGTTGCCCAAGCCTAGACAGGAAAAGTCGAGAGTCAGAGGGCGGGTTCGAACCACAGATCTTGCGGTCAGTAAATTCGCGCTCTGACCACTGACCCATTTCGCCCCATGACGAAACTATACGGCCAGAAACCCACAACTGGAGCTGAGCTGCGACCTATCGAACAGCATGCTATGCTACTTTAGGCAGACATGAATCTGGCGCACATGAAAACAGATTTTTCGATAGAATCCAGCTCAGCACGTGTTTCACAGGACTAGGATGTTCTGGTAGTGTCAAAAGGGACACAGTACTGGCCTTGCACAAACATTCCAAAGAGGACGCAAATTCTGCCAGACAAATCCAGCCACTCCGGTGAGAAAACTGCGTGTTTGCTGCAGTGGAGTGTGTTTCGGGTAGTAAGGCAGAATGTGTACCACGAGGTGGATACAACAATAAAAGAGAACAAAGGAAACAAAGAAATCAGCCCGCACTATGATGCTGACTCGTATCCCAACTGAGGCGAGGAATTAAAGTGACTGGAACCTGTAGGAAAAGAGCCTCTTTAGGCATGAGCATTTTGGGCGGCCCCTGTAAGGTATTCCGGCCTATCAGTATCCCAGCTTTTGTGCTTTCTGAAGAATGCGTTATAGCTTTGTGCCCAAGGGATTAATCTGGAAACCAATTTGGGTTTTTAATCGTTTCACATTGTGGAGATCATTTACCGAAAGATATTCCAGATGCTTAGTAACTGTGTAAGCAAGCAACAAGGGTAATTGAACGTCTTATAACGTTATTCGGTGCTGATGTATGAATACAGAATCGTGAG